CTCCTTAACAAAATCACTTAAATAAATCATATTTGCAAATAAATGATCTTGGTTTACTGTTTTAATTATTCTTTCATCCATTAATGTATTACAATTAATAGAATTAGTAAAAGAATCAAAAGTAAAATGAGCTTTTATTGTTATATGAGTTGTTCCACCATAAACACGTTCAACTGAATGTGTATTTAAATTATATTGTAAAATAATAGAAAATGCTTTACATTTTTTATTTGTATCAAAAACATATTTATTTACTTTTGTTTTTGATACAATTTTTTGTCTTTCTCTTTGAAATAATTTTCTTCCAATTTGTTTTAATTCTATTGATGATGGTTGCATTTCAATAATATAATTTGCACAATGAATTCCTAAACTAACAGTATTTGTATCTATCATTTCAATATGAATTGCATCATCCCACATTTGTGTATTAGAACTATCAATAGTAATTGTCATTAATGAAGAATAATCATTATATTGTTGTTTTTTAATTAATTGATTTATTTTTTGTGAAACGTTTTGAGCAATTGATATTTTATCAAAGTCAATTTGTTGTTGAAAATTATTTTGTTTTACTAATTGTGACTTTTTAGAACCATCATAATAATTATCATTATTAATAACTCTTTTAAAAATAAATCTATTTTTTTCTCTATCAATGTCTCCAATAACATGACATCTTTCAAATTCTTGATTAGAATGTAATGAATATATTCCATTATCATCTGGCCAAAATATTCCATTTTCAATATATCCTGTAATATCATTATATTTTTCATATTTTTCAATATATATTACTTCACATGTAGGTTGAAGTACATATCCATTATATTCTTTTCTATTTAAAATTAATTCAATTAACTCATTTAAACTATTTATTTCATTATAATTTATTTCTACCATTTTATTATATTTACTTTCTTTAAAAAATAATTGACTATATTCCATTTCGAATGAATCTTCATCTTTTCCTTTTATTTTCCAATATTTAATTGGTTGTAATGCAACTGATACTTCATCTCCTGGTAATGAACTATTTCTTTGTTGATATGGTATTAGAACTTCATGATTTTCTCCTACAAAATTAATTACACAATATAAATATTCATTAAAATATTTTACTGTAGTTGTAAAAAAGTTCATATTAATTTGACTATTTCTTAGTTACTCTTTCTTTTTTTAATGTCTCAATTGTCAAAAGAATGATGTAAATTATTACAAAACATCTTTATCTTCTTTCTTTTTTAAATTAAATGTTATTATTTGTTTTTATATTCTTCTTAACTTCATTCTTCCTTCTTTTTGTTATAAATCAAATTATTATCTTTTTTAATGAATTTATTCTTTTTTTTTGTCTTTTTTAACTCTTAACCTTTAAAATTTCAAAACAAATGATGCAAAATTTTTATTTATACTTTTCATTGATGTACTTTTTAAAGAAAAAAAGTAATATAAATTAAAAATTTTACTATTTAACATGACTTAAACGTTAGTTTTTATTCTTCATTGTTAATTATGTTTTTTAGTATAAAACAATTTATTTTCTTTTTGAAAGAAAGTATGACCGCGCCTAATTATCATAGATTTGTTGACTCAAAAATATATTCTTTTAAGTTAAAACAATACACCGCACTAAAATAAGATTAATAACTCATCTCTTAAATTATAATAAGAATAACACACTAATGAACATCTCAATGAAGAATTAATAAAATTCAAAAGAAGAACTGTAAAATGTTTGAATAAAAAAAAACAGTGGAAAAAAAATTTAAAAGAGGTGAACTTCAAAAGATGAAAAGAACTAAAATAAAAGATATTTTCAGATTTTTAGAAGAAAAACAAAGAAGAACTCAAAATAAGAACAACTCAACAGAATGCTTCCATCACATCTTGGGACTGGATCAAATGAAATAATTAAAACATTAGACACTATTAGAAATAGTGGTTCTATTGAATGGGTAGTTTATCATGTTAATTTTAAAAATGGAGATTTAATAGAAGATGATACAGGAACAACAGTTGGAGATATGGTTTATACAATGGATAACGCACAAGTACAATTTGGATATTTAAGATATGAAATGGACCAAACAAAAAAATTTTTATGTGTTTGTTGGTGTGGACAAGCAGCACCAGATAATTTAAAAACAAAATTTGTTTATTACTCAAGAGACTGGGAAGATTTCTTAAAATCTAATAATCACTCTATCTCTGTCACAATCTCCGCTAGAAAAGAAGAAGACTTAGACGAATCTACTATCGTCGATAAATTAAATAAATCTACTAACTCATTTGTTAGAGCTCGTAAACAAGGAGAGGCTAAAGAAGACTTAAATGCTAAAAAAAATATCTTTTGGCAACAACAAAAAACTAAAGACCAACAATATAATGATGAAATGAATGCTAAACAAAAACTAAGAGAAAAAGAATACGCAGAGTCTAAAAGAATTGAATCAGAAAAATTAACAGCAGCAGCTGAAGCTCGTAATGCTGCAATGAATGCTGCTAAAGAACAAAAGGTTAATGCTTTTAAACAACAACAATTAGAAAAAGATGAAGCTGAAAAGGCTCGTTGGAAAGAACAAGAACAAAAACATCAACAGTTTGTTGCTTCCCATCAACAAGAATCTGAAAAACCAGTTGCCCAACAACAAGTCAAAGGTAATGTTTCGGCTTTCGCTAGTAAATTCACTCAATATGCTCAAAAAGATCAAGAAGAAGTTCCTAAAGTTCAACCTACTGGTAAAAAATGGACTCCTAAAGTAGCTCCTGCATCTGAAGTTCCACAACCTACTTATCAAAGACCCACTGCTCCAAAACCTACTTATAGACCTCCTCAACAAACCATCCCAGAACCTGTACAAGAACAACAACCAGAGCAACAACACCAAGAAGAACAACAACCAGAGCAACAATATCAAGAAGAGCCAGAACCTACACAAGAACAACAATATCAAGAAGAGCCAGTACAAGAGGAGTCTCAACAATATGAAGAAGCCCCACAAGAAGAGGTTTCTTCTGCTCCACCTTTACCACCTAAACCAAGACAACAACAAGGAGAAACTTATATTGCTGAATATGACTATGACGCTACTGCTGAAGGAGATTTAACTTTCAGAGAAGGTGACATTTTACAAGTGATTTCAGTTGATGAAGATGGATGGGCACAAGCCATCAATGCCAATGGAGAGCAAGGAACTGTCCCACTCAATTATCTTAGAAAACAATAATGAACATCAATTTTCTTCTCAAAGTTTCTTATTTAGGTTTTATTTCATTAAGTCAATAGCATATATCCAAATTTTCTATCTTGTTAATATTTATTATAGGTTTTTTTATGAAATTTTTTATTACAATAGTTTTAATTATTCCAGAAAGAAGAACGAACTAGTCTCCTGAATATAAAGGCTAATTAATACTTTACTTTCATAACCTTAATAAATGTACAAAAAGTTACTTGTTCTTGGTACAGTTCTATTTAAATTATACCAAATAGTATTGAAAATACGTTGAACCTTATTTTACCTTTAGCTTTTTCATTAAATTAATTTATTATTACTAATACCAAACTACAAAATAAAATGTATTATATCCAATTACTCTATTCTTCATTGCCCCCATTTTAACACAAAAACTACAACCTCATCCTTTGTTATCATTGGCTTTTCTATTTGAAGTTCAATCATATCTTTTAAGATCTCTTTCAACCATGGACCTCCTTTTCTTTGTAAAAGTTTGCTACACTCTTCACCATTAACTAGTGGCTTCATTTGCCAAATATTTTCCAATTCTTCTGAAGCAATTTTGTTGAGTAATAGGTTACACCACTCTACCATCGTTTTGTTCATAACTCCTTTGTCATATGGACTTACTAACACCCCATCACAAGGTGCATGGATTGCACATGACAAACAAATAGACTCTTTCCACCACTCTGCTGAAGCAACAACTATCCTTCCTACTTCTACTCTTGTCCATTCTTTTTTGTTTGATAGTTGCTCTAGTTCTTTAACTCCATTATGAACTAATATTATGTTATTTCTCTCTTTCACACTTAGTTTTAATGAATCAATAATAACAGAATGTATTTTTGCCATTCTCTTTTTCTGATTTGTTTCTCTTGTAACAGAATATAACAATGCCGCAAGAAATCCTATTTCTCTTCTTCCTAGTTCAAACGCTCCAAATTTTTGTGCATACATTTCATAACTTCTAACCACATTCGTAGTAGTAATTTCATCTAAATCACCAAAAAGTCCTTTAAAATACCCAAATTGTCTGATTTGATCTATACAATAAGCTGGCCTATCACTTTGTATCATTCCTATTAATTCACGTCCAAGTCGTTCTCGGCTCAATCCACTTGTCATTTTATCTCCAATGTATTTTGTTTTCATTTCTTGTTCTAGCTCTTCATCTAACACAAATCCCATCTTCCCACTGAATCGAATTGCTCTTAACGCTCTTGCTGGATCATCATGTAATGTCTCTTTGGGTGAAATTGGTGTTCTGATAATTCTACTTTTTAAATCATTCAATCCACATCCCGTTAAATCCTCTATTTGGTCATCATTTACCCTATAAAACATTGCGTTGATAGTAAAGTCTCTTCTCTGTGCATCTTCTAAAGGTGTACCTATTTTCTATACATCAGTTGTTTTTTTTCATGTAATTATTTAACTTTAGTTATTAACCCATTTAACCAACAAACTTCCTCATCATTATCACAGTAATCTGATGCTCTCAAACGGCATATATCAATAGCAATATTATCTATTCTTAATGTTGCAGTCTCAAGGTGTTTTCCAGCAGAATGGTTTTTATGAATTACTCCAATTCCACTAACGTTATGTTGTGTGTGTTCATTTATATATTTTTGAAGGTATTGTGAGAATTGATAAGATTGCATATTGTCAACTGTGATGTCAATGTCATGAGACTCTTTCCCTAATAATTTGTCTCTAACCCATCCACCTACAACTCTAATTATTGTTGATAATTTAAAATGTAGGACAGTCTATCTCATAAATACTTTTATAGATTTTTATTAATAACACAACCAACTTGTTTTAGAAGATCAAAGACCATGACTTCGTTTTGGGTCAAATGAATTGAAGGGGTGTTTTCCATAATGTGAATTATGAGTTTTATTACAACAGGGTATCTCTTGAGTCAAAAGAGACTTAAAATTTTTATTAAATATATATAACAAAATTTAATAATATATATTTTTTTGTCATTTAATACTCTTGCGTGACGAAACACAAGAATAATATGGAAAGTCATGACTAAATTATTAAATGTAATAGCTAACAAACAAAATAATAACAACAACCAATTGATGAAGGCGTAGAGAGAATACACTATATTGAATTAATAAAATTAGTTAATTAAGTGTTAATAGAATTTTCGTTTATTCTTCCTTGCTCAGAGGAAATTAATCACCTCTCTGAGCTGTTTTTTTTAAAGAATAATTTCTTTGTCTAACCTATCATTTAGGTTTGTCTAGGAGTATGAGAAAATCATTTCTTTTATTTCTTCTTATTAAGGTTTTTCAAGCTTTTTCTGTTTAATCCTTCTTTTTAACATTTGTTTGATTTCTGCTTTAATTTTAATGAACTTCTTTTTCCTTTCTTTATTTTATGAATGAGAGAAGAAAGCATTTCATTACCACTATATTATTATGATTAATTTACTTTTAGTCTTAAAAACACTTTAGTAGATCCTTTTACTTGAATAATACCTCCATATATTTCTTAATTTCTTTATTAATAAATATCGAATATTATATTACACCATGTTATATTTCATCATAATAAATTGATGCACCATTTGCAGCTTTAACAAATGAATTTCATATTCAAATGCACCATCATAACCAGATAATAACTAGGAGATTCGAAGCTTGAATTTGTATTAATGTTTATGTGTGGTGTTTCAGACATGCTACCTGAGATTTGTTTAATTAAGGTAATAAAAATAATAAGTAATGTTGATTTTGATTGAAATTTAAAGGAAGAAAAGTCATCTCATTAATGAAATAATTGAATCTAATTCAAGAAGAGATAGTTGTTGGTATTGACTTATGAACGACATTTAGTTATTGTCATTTCTTTAATACTCAGAAAACAAAATATGAATGTGTCAACTACTTAAATGGAAGTTCAACAGTTCAGTCAATTGTTGATTTTTTCACTCAACTTGTTAGTATTGGAATTCCAAAGCCTACTGCCATTTGTGAAGTAAAAAGGTTTATTGGAAGGAAATTTGATGATAGACAAGTGCAAGGATATATTAGACAAATATATTTCTTATATGAAATAGTTGGTGCAGATGATGGATATTGTCGGATTGTGCTTGGTTGTGGTAAAAAAAACTAATAGAACCAGAATTTATTTCAGCGACTATTTTAAAAGCAATTAAAATTGAAATTCAACGAAGATTAAATATTAGTAGCAGTATAGTTTTAAAAGCTGTTGTTACAGTGTCAGCATACTTTGATGATTCTCAAAAAGGTAGAGCAAAAAAAATGTATTAATAGATGTATTTGGGTTAATTCGATTGTTAGCAAAACCGTTAGCAGCTGTATATGCATATGGATTGGATTTTAAAAAAAGTCTCATGTGTCTTGTATTTGATCTTGGAGGAGGAATGCTTGATACTACTATATTAGAAAACCAAGAAAATGATTTTAATTTTAAAGCAATTGGTGGTGATGTTTATTTCGGAGGATTAGATTTTAATATGAATTTAATGGAACTTGGTACATCCAAAGTGAAAGCGATTAATGAGATTAAAGCACAATGACTTATTTTTTAAGGAAGTGACTGCTGGACACAATGTGACATAAAGAAACAACTAAAATACAACTTAAGAAAAGGGGTTGAAAAAGCAAAAATTGCATTATCAACCAATTTATATTGTGAGTTAGACATTTCAGAATTAGCTCTTAAATTCAGTCTTTATAAAATTGATGATAGTGATGATGATGAAGAACTTATTATTTCTCTTGATATAAATGACTTTGAAGAATGTAATAAAAAAGAATTTGATAAATGTATGGAATGCATAGATGAGATAATGCAAAAGAAAGGAATCTCAATATCACAAATTGAAGAAGTTATACTTGTTGGAGGAAATTCATAAATTCCTAGAATCAAAGGGTTATTAGTAAAAAAGTTTCGTTCATCACATATCAGACATAGTACTAATTGCACGATGATTGTATCACAAGGTGCAACCTGATACACAGTTGAACATCATAACGAAACGGTATGGATCGTCTATAGGTAATTGTACATCCCATCAAGATGACAGGAGTTAATGGAATTTCACCGTTGTTGAAGATGGAACGAAAATTCCATATGAGCATGAAATGTATGTTGAGTTCACTGGGTTGATGGACAAACAGAATTCTTTGAAGGTGAGAAATCATTAGGACGTTATGTTATTACTAGCATTTTAAAAGAAGAAAGATATCTGGCTTTTGTGGTAAAAGTTGAAGAAGATAGCACAATTACTATTGGAGGAAGTATTTCAAATGGACAAACTGTGAATGCAAAACACAAACTGAGAAGAAACCAAATGAAGAAGAAGAGATTCAAATTGAGA